ATATAATGAATAGGCCTAATAATAATATTATTTAATTTATAATATTGCTTATTATAATTTTAATTATATTTTTTCATAGCCGCTTCTTGGGTTTAGTTATGCCTTATGTCTAGCTTATCCATTAACCATTGATGAATTAATTCCTAAATGCATTTTAATGCTTCTCCACAGTCCACCACTTGGTCGTTCATTGTTCACCCTTTCCTTATCGCTGTTTATTTGTACATACTCTATATCATTAATCCTTTATATGCCAACTTGCTTTCGACTTAATTACCGTATTGTTTCTCAAATTGTATATTACTAAGAAACTTTTTGTCAATACAGTATGTTCATTTTATGTCAAGCGTTGACAAAGACCACAGGAGTACCCGAAATATTCGCCAACATCTTACGTATCTTAGCCATATAATCGGAAGGCCTTGGGTTCGAATCCCAATGGGGACATACATTTTTCTCAAATATTTATTATCATCTTTAATCAACACCATTGGAGGTATACCTCCATACCGTAGTTACTTTCATGTGATTTACTATTATCTTCACAATTCGACATAATAAAAGTTGTATGTTGTCATGGTGCGATAAATTATCTTGACAAGTCGACATTATACAAATTGTACGTTGTCATGGCGAGATAGGTTATCTTGGCAAGTCGACATAATAAAAGTTGTATGTTGTCATGGCGAGATAGATTATCTTGACAAGTTGACATTGTAAAAATTGTATGTTGTAATGGCAAGACATGTTATCTTGACAAGTCGACATAATAAAAGTTGTATGTTGTCATGGCGAGATAGATTTTCTTGGCAAGTCGACATAATAAACATTTTATGTTGTCATGGCGAGATAGGTTATCTTGACAAGTGACATAAAAAAAATTAAGGACTTTTCGATTTGAGTGGACGTGGACGACTTTCACGTCCGCGTGAGTGGAAAATCCGAGCAGTCGACTGGTACTTGTCCACTGGTTATCTGAACGTTTCGATTTAAGTGAACGTTGATGTTGACACGTCAGTGAACTTATGACCTTGTGATCTGGGGTTTCCTCGTGTTCGCGCGCGCTATTCGAATACACTGGCAGTGGTATCTTACTCAACACTCAGGTACTGTAGTCTACGCAGCTCAACATGGCAAATCTTCATCGGCTTCGCGAATCCCTTAATGGTATATCCATGGGGTATTCAGGGCAGGGAGTTGTAAAAACATAAATCTCCCTGTTGAGGGTGCACCTCTCCTTCTTTGTTCAATAGAGGATTTTTTTTTTAACAGATCACTGAAAAATTATTTCCTCTTTCCTGGATACGCCCGTCCTGACTGAAGGCTAGCAGCCTTGCCTAGCCTAGCCTGGGCTTAGGCTCCCTTGGCCTAGCTAAATAGGCTGAATAATTAATTACCTAATTATCCACTGAATTTGATCCACATTAATGGATAATTCTATAGTTTGCAAATAGGACATAACTTAACCGAAATGCTATTTACTTACATCCCCAGTAGAAGATAATTTTGCCAAATTAAGAAGCACCGCGACATCCTCCTCCAAGTCAACCAGGCCTTTCTTTATCCTATCAATAAGCGTGTTCTTGTATACCATGTTACCGTTACCTTCACAATTAAGTAAATAGGCATAACATTTCCTGGAGGTGGAGTCATTAGGAAATATTTGTGACAAAAGATTGAACTGGGATGACAAAATAATATCTTTAATATTGGGCAAGTTAACTGCATGTAACAGAGGAGTTGACCTGCAAAATTTAGGGATACCAAGATATGCCTTTACCAACTTACTTTGAATTTTATCCATGTTGTCAACTCTATTGATATTAATACATTGGCAACCATATGTAGGAATAGGAACAACTACAGTGTTCCAAATGTGAAGTTTCACCTCAGTACAAGAGCCCTGTTTACACATGCTGATACTTTGTAATGAAAAGAAGGCTTTCTGGGAATTACGAATTCTCGCATCAACGTGAGAATTTCCCTTTAGATTGCTGTTAAGTGTGACCCCGAGGTAAGTTACAGAGTCTGTGACTTTCAAGGTATGATTATTTAATGTCCATACCGGGGCTGGTGATAAACTTTGTATGCCAAATGTTGTACAAGATGTCTTAATGGGATTGAAACGTAACCCATGAGATAGTATGTAATTGTTGGCGTAATCAATAAGTTTTTGAATACCAGTGGTGGTAAGACTTGTTAAAAGTAAATCGTCCGCATAACAGAATGTATTAAACTTACAATTTGCAACCAAAATACCGCAATTAAGTTAATTTAAACCATTTACCAGATCTTTATGGAACAAGTTAAATATAAATGGAGATGATAGTCCTCCTTGTCTAGTACCTTTGCGGATTGCAATACTTCTACTAGTCATATTATTCCATTTAACAGTGACGTTTATATTTGTGTACCATTTATACATACAGAGCCACCAGTCAGATTTGATTGCAGAATTAAGTTTTTGAAATATTACGACATGGGGAATTGCATCAAATGCACCTTCGGCATCTAAAGAACAGGAGTAAACACTGGAGCCCTGATTTACACAATAATTAATAACATCACTAAAGGTGGCGGCAGCCATGGTGGTACTACGACCACTTACAAATCCAAATTGCATTGCATCAAATTTAATATCCCTATGAAATTCTAGGAAAAATATCTCGAAAATCTTAGATAAAACATTTAAGACAATAATGGGCCTATAATTGCTTGGCACCGATGGATCTAGACTTTGCTTTTTAAGAATCGGAATTAACGTACCTTCCTCAAAAAGATTTGGAACAACTCTGTATTTAATATATGTGTTAAATATCACTGACAAAATCTTGGGGAGTTTCGATTTTACTCCATGCTTAAGGTGTTGAGCAGTAATTCCGTCGGGGCCCGAAAAAGAGTTATTGTTTAAAGTGTTAATATATCTAATAATGGAGTCAGTGTTAAAATAGTTTGAATTTATGTCGACTTGTCAAGATAATCTATCTCACCATGACAACATACAATTTGTATTATGTCGACTTGTCAAGATAATCAATCTCGCCATGACAACATACAACTTTCATTATGTCGACTTGTCAAGATAATCAATCTCGCCATGACAACATACAACTTTTATTATGTCGACTTGTCAAGATAATCTATCTCGCCATGACAACATACGATTTTTACTATGTCGACTTGTCAAGATAACCTATATCGCCAAGACAACATACAATTTTTACTATGTCGACTTGCCAAGATAATCTATCTCGCCATGACAACATACAATTTTTACTATGTCGAGTTGTCAAGATAATCTATCTCGCCATGACAACATACACTTTTTATTATGTCGACTTGTCAAGATAACCTATCTTGCTATGACAACATTCAACTTATAGTATGTCTACTTGTCAAGATAATCTATCTCGCCATGACAACATACAACTTTTACTATGTCGACTTGCCAAGATAATCTATCTCGCC